CCCCCCAGAAAAAAAAAAAAAAAAAATCCAACTATGTTCACACTGTACATTTTCTTAGGTATTCATTACAGCACTGCATCTATAAACAGAAAAATATGAATTTCTTAAAATAAAAAAAATTAAAAATTAAAATGTGAGGGCTCCTAAAGAAAAACAGGTTCATCATGAATGGAGATGTCATCGCAAGTACAACTGGAAAGGTCTCAATAAGAAAGAGAAAGCAGAAATAAGATCCTTACACTACCAGACATTCATTTTTACAGCAGTTCAGACTCAAGTTAGGCTCCGCCAGGAGAGGAAAAACAAAACCCAAAAAGGAGCCTTTAAACTCAACAAAATCGAAAGCAGTCAAATTATCAACACCTTCAAACCTGGTCCATAAATTATATAAATTAAAAAAAAAAAATCTTTAATTACTTTTAAAATTATCTTGTCCCCATACTGTGAAGATTCTTTTTTAAACCAGCCCTAGTTAGAATAACTCTAGAGACAGAGCTAATGGAGTAGTGAGGTGTTCTGAGGCTGGTTGGGAGTAAATCCCCCTTTCTTGCGCCCTTGCCGCTTGTTTCCTAAACACCAATCAGCTGCGTGTAGTCCTATTAATCAAGTGAACAAAAATCCATAATCACAGTATCAATACTACCATAAATTCATAGGAAAACACAAAAGAAAAATATGTATGTGAATACTTTTTTTGTACGTTTGTTTTTTTTTTGGCCAAAGATGGTGTACCACAGAGCGTTTCTGTACAGGAGTGTTTTGTGTATATGTATTTACAAACAGATATACACAAACATTTGCAGACTTTAGTGTGTTTTCTGTGAAAGGTTCATAACCACCCCTTCCTCTAAATCACTCAACATTAAGCAATCTTTTTTTTTTTTCCTTTTTATAAACAAAGTGACTATACAGTTTAAAAAAAACAAATTAAGGAAAGTAAACAGAAGCACCGCCCATTATAGGAAGTGTGTCTGATTGGACGGCTGAGTGATGTCATCAGATGTTACCGCATGGATTCTACTCGTGCCTTAGAGTGCGGGCACTGCAGCTTTTTTTGTTTTTGTGGAATTAAGCTACTCGCAGCCCGAGCTGCAGATGTGCTCTGAACACTGATGACATCAGCTCCCCTCCGCATCCGCTTCCACCAATCAGAGCAGAGCCTCATTGAAAGCAGCTGTCCTCTCACCCGCTACTTAGTGTCTCATAATGGGGCATTGGATGGGTACCAGTGGAGCCAGATTCACTGATGATACTTTGGAAGATTGTTCCTGTGAATCCATATAGATAACATCTGGAGGAGGGAAGCATGTGATCAACTTAAACATAAAAAAGAAAAAAATCTTAAAAGGATACCTATTGTCATGTAAATTTCTGGTTGCTTCTTTAAAAATTTTTTGTCGCCTTGCAAAATTTTCTTACAACCACTCCATTTATTAATCATACTTGTTAAATACATTAAAAAGTGTTTTTTTTTTTTTTAAAAATCTCAGCAATTAACAGATTTTGATTAGCCATCTCCTGCTCCCTGACCCCCTCCCCCTTCATGTTTTAAGTGTTTACATATGCATTTACTTCATAATATATATATTTTTTTCTATTTTTTGTGATTGCGATGCTCACACTGGTGGGTACATTCATAGACGCAAGATGGAGACAGAATCCTCAGTCCCGTCCCCCACCGAGTCGCTCTGAAGTATCTCTCAGGTCCTCGGATGGTGTCAGAAAATATGGAACTCTGTTAATTCCACACTGGCAGGAGCGTGGAAAGGAGACGACGGAGGATCTGCTCTCGCACCGCTGAAGGTAAACTCCGAAGGGCCAGGGGGTATGATGCCGCTATTCACCGAAACACAGATCCTCTCTAATCAATGATGCCCCCAATACACAAACACACACACGCACTCACACCAAAATCCCCTCCAGTCACTGTATAGCTCGTGTGAAAGGTTTGTGTGCCAGAGCCAGCAGCCGGGGCCAAATCCACACCCACACACACAGAGCAGCTTTGGGAGGACTGAAGACTAACACAGCAAGCTGCCGAGAGGAGGAGGAAGAGGCTTTGGTGAAAGAAGAGGGGCAACGTCTGCAGGTGGGAGGATCTGTGGGTTCACTGTACTGGGAGAAAGGGGGAGGAAAAAAACAAACAAAAAAAACGGTTCTGTTGGGGGAGGGATTGTGTGCGTGCATGCGTGCACATCTGCGGCTGTGTGTGTTTGTGTATGTGAGCTGGAGTGATGTGCTGTGTAATGCATGTGGAGCTGACGGCACATTCCCAAAGAGGTGTGCATTTGTGCAGTGGGGGAGGAGATGTGCGTCGCATTTGAGCCCTCACACCAGGTTGTACTCTTTGAGATTGAGCTGTAGGATGGTGTCTTTGACAGCTGCAAACACAAAGCGGATGTTCTCAGTGTCCGTGGCACAAGTGAAGTGAGAGTAGATGATCTTGTCGCTGTCTGGGTTTAAGTCCACAAACATCTTGAGGATGAACTCCCGCGCCGCCTGTGCATCTCTCTGGGGACCTAAAATGCAGAAATGGGTGAGGATGTGAGAGTGTGCATTGTACTTCAAGTCACCTTCACAACTTCGGTCCACACTAAGGAAAAGTTGCTTCAAACTGATTTGTGGATTAGCTCAGCTGAGTCAAACCCAGTTTTACTAACATCACACTGGCACATATGTTGCTTATCACTTTATTAACACTGCTATCATCCATGTCTTTGACAGAATAACCAACAGTGCACATCTTTAAATCCCTCATCTGAATATCAATCGAAAGCGATGATATTGTGACAAGTCTGATTTCTAGCAGGAACCAAACGCATGTGTTAATCACTCAACACAAACACGTAGATGATCTCACCATCAAACTCGGGAAAGTAGTCCACCAAGTGCGAGTAGGTGATCTTCTCCTCTAGCAGGTCTTTCTTATTAAGGAAGAGGATGACAGAGGAGTTTTGAAACCAGGGGTAGGTAATGATAGTCCTGAACAGAGCCTTACTCTCTTCCATGCGGTTCTGATGAGAACAGTGTTGAGCAGAAATAGAATGTTAATTTGGCGTCAATATTGAAGTCATCTTCAGACTAAAATATCCAAAATACTCTAAATACAAACCATTTGTCGCACTTACCTCATTGTCTGACTCCACCAGGACCTGATCATACTCACTCAGCGCCACAAGAAACATAATGGAAGTGACATTCTCAAAGCAGTGAATCCACTTCCTCCTCTCTGACCTCTGGCCCCCTACATCTACCATCCTGATGGCAGGATGAAGGCGAAGGAGGATAAAAAGTGAAAAAAAGAAGGGGGGAAAAATAAATTAGCATGCAAGTTTGGGTGGCCTAGTTTATGGTAAGTGATTAATGGAACTAAAAGAGTGCTTAGTGTTAAACAAAAGTTTAAGCTCTCAAGAGTCCTCGCACTCTAGCAAGGCTTGAGAAGCTTATTCTTACAGATTCTGCAAAGATTTTGAATCCATCAAGACGCATTTAGTGAACTCACACAAGCGTAAATCTTGCATATTCTATGAATTACTAATACACAACTTAATAACCTGGCCTTTTCAACAAGATACACTTCTGTTTCATTCCATTTTGCGTAACAGAAGAACTCTCTCACTGGAGTACATCCCCCTTAAACATTTTCTGCATATGACCTACATAAAAGATTCAGCCTTTCATCCAGGGACCCATCAAAGCATATTTTCACTGTCATTTTTAAGAGACAGCAGAAATAGGCCCAACATTTATTCTGGGTCCTGACCATTTGTTAAAAGATTTGGTCCTATTAACTTCATTTTAAAGTTGCTGAAACAAGAACCCTGATGGATTCAACATCTTCTTTGAAATACTTTCAAGTGTATCAGTGTACAGATCTCTCTATACAGGAAAAACAAAAAAACAAAACCCAAAAACCCACACACAGACACAGATGTGGAGCGTGCACGTGTTTTTGTTGTGTGCGAGTCATGCACGCCACCAGGCAAGCTTTCCATTTAAGACAGACAATAGAAACAGGAAGGAACTTAGGAAGTTGTGTTACTTTTATTGTTTGCTAAATGCCTAAGTTACAAACATGAACCAAAGAAACTACAAAAACAGTCATTCCAGTTATGTCCATACAAGAAATTGTCGCCTCCTCAGTATTGCTAACCCCACCCAGTATGTAACAGGTATTATAGACCACTAACATGCACAGGTGGGTGCATAGGTGAATTTTAACTGTTCAGTAGTCTCATATAGTTAGTAGCGTATTGTGGCATATTCACCTGAAACTCTTTATGGCCCTAGCAACAGTTAACTGTTTTAGTTGATAACAGATTAGTCTGTACTTCTGTTTGTGTGTCATGTTGAAAATAGAAGCTCATAACACATTTTTCACTACTACAAAGCTTTCTCACCCTTCCCCAGTGTGTGCGATAGAGTAGAACATAACAGTTGTAAATGCTTTGAAGCACAGTTAAAGACAAAAAGGACACCAGAGAGATATAAGACAGGATAAAACAAGAGCTGGGGAGGGGGGCGTGGCAGAGGACAGGAGGCAGAGCCGAGAGCGTGTTGGAAGCAAAGATATGGAAGGCAAATTACAAAATAAAAAAAATTTGCATTTCAGTTTGATTTCAGCACATGTGCTGGCAGTAGGTAAGCCAAAATTAAAAAAAAAAAAAAAGTCTAAAGCCAGTCATAGGCATAGCATTTAGAGTCAAGATTAAACCTAAGAGATACTCTGAGTCCTCATGTGGTTTCAGGTTTCTTGAGCTTCTCCTTGACAAGGTCAGCCTTCACTCATCTGGGACTGTAGGTCCCAGTTTCATTAAGCCCCTTTGTGACAATTGATTTAATTAAATCTTTGAAGTCAAGAACATTTGCCTGATGAAACAGCAGATAAATGGCATCTCTCCAATTTATATCAGAGTATTTTCAAGCACCTCTGGATGCACAGGTACTTGCCTTCAGAGCAGTCATACAAATAAGCTTAAAGTCACAGCTCACTGGTGCCCCCTGGTGGTGGCCCAGTCCACAGTGGTCCACAGAGACCCAGGGCCAATATAGGCCCTGCAGGACCTGCTGCCCAAAATAACATTCCTCCACCGCGGAGAGGACGACCTCGTTTCTTCTGCCAGCCGGAGAGGAAGAGGAATAGAGGAGGTGACCCATTTACAGAGACCGGGCACCAAAATGTAGGACTTTGTTTCATTAGGGGACTGTGATTTGTGTGCATGTGACTGTTGTTCATAGCGCCAGGTAGGTACGTAACTATGGGAGACTGTAAAAAGATGACAACTTCTACTTTTTAATGATTGGAGTATGGGATGGGATACAGACAAAGAACCCGCATTGATAAATCAAAAGTGTTGAGTTATTTTCAGTCATTGTGAGGAAAAAAATAGATGGTTTATTTGGGACTTGGGGGAGAAGAAAAATAAAAAAAATAAAACATCAAATGAGTTAATGACGTCACGACAAAACATGAATGGACGCAGCCAAAACAGCCGTCTTTCTACCTGAAAATGATGCTTTGCAAGTCGAAGGGGTACTCTATGATTCCTGTAGTGGGGATGCGCACCCTGAGTACATCCTGCTGTGTGGGAAGATAGTTGGAATCTGAAATACGATCCAGATCCGAAAGATAACTACAAACGAGCCAGTCAGGAAAAAGGAATATAAAAAAAAGAAAAGAAAAAAAAAAAAAAAAAAGAGGGAGGGGAGAGACAGGAAAACAGTTATATAAAGCGTGGCAGGCAATTACCGCAACACCACAGCCATTCCAGGAAAGTGTGGATCAGTCCTGTTGAAGAAGACTCTCAGAAAAGGCCGCATCACAGAAACAAAAAGGTGTTAGTGCCACTGCTCCACCAACACTATTCCCAGAGCTTTGACATTAGCCGTTTATCTTTAACTGACCATGGACACTGAGGTCAAGACATTTGTGGAATATGGTGGTGCAGACAGTGTAGGTGGCATCGGTGACAGCAGCAGTGACTTTAGCAGCGGAAACAGCAGCACCTGTATCAGATAAACAAGGATTGGACAAGTCTGACATCAAGGACAACGGGAAACATATTCCCCTTTGTTTCTTTAAAGGTTAAATTCTTCTGCCTTTCAATGTGCATCCAATTGTCTAATATTTCATGACAAATTCCTGGAGAATCTTTGACATCTCTGCCTAATCCTTCTTTATCTGTACTTTGTTGCTGCTCCCTTCAGTGCAACATGTCTGGCCTTAGGTTCTCCTTTCCCCTTGGGGCCAGAACTAGAAGACGATGCTACACACAAACCACTGATAGCCTCATAGGACAAAGCAATCTACTCATGTTAGTATTGTTTGTCCCAGCTTTAATCTTTTTTTTGGAAATAAATGATTCTGAGCTACTTCTTTTACACTGACAGTCATCAGTGGTTTGTGTCCTCTAGTCATGGTGACGCTGCAGTCCTGGTGCCTTGAGGGAGTACCTGAAGATGACGTTCTCCAGGTCAAACGGGTACTCTATTATACCCGTGGTGGGAACACGGACCCTCAGTACATCTTGCTGGGTGGGAACATAACCCTCCGCAGTCACACGGTCTATATCACTAAGGTAACTGGAGATATACACGAACAGTGTGGATAACACTGGACTGAAGACATCATTCAATGATTTACTTGCATTTCATTCTGTCATACGCATGCTTAAACAAATACAAACCTTACACATTTGATGTCAAACTGCAAACACATCTGCATGCACACAAACTTGACCTGCAGTACAGAGCAAGCACAACCAGGGGGCACTAAAGAGTGAGTGATTTCCTTCGGCTTTGCACCCTAGAGTCATGTATTGTGACACAAAGGGTGTACACCTTACCAAGTTTTTTTTTTTAAAAACAATTACTAGCAGTGCATCTTTTCTCTAAAGACAAATAGCACCGTTTCTAGCCAATCTGGGCACAGAAATTGGAAGCTACTTTAAGACTTACTTTAGTGTGTTTTCACTGATTTCAGGGTAAAATAATGGGCTCCATAGTGGTTTCAGTGTATCCGTTTATTCTTATTTAGTTGGATGAGCCATTGAAATCAGTCTCTCCAATAACAAGTCTTTTTTTTCTCGTACAACTAATTACACTAATATCAATTAAGAGCTAAATAGTGCCATTTTCATGAGAGATTGTCAAATAAACAAGAGATTTTTGTCATTTGTCAGCCAAATTTTCCAGTGGACGAAAGGCTAATGTGCTGCTCTGCCCAGCATATACACCGAAACCCACACAGAACCTGACACCAACCCCACACATCCAACCACACCTTAATTACTCTGAAAATTAGCATCTTGACCTCTGAAGACAACTGTGTCCCTGCTACACACAAAGTGTCAGTTCCCCCCCAAAATCATGAAATATATATTTTTAAACTTACGTCAGGCTGAACCTAGCTTCGCAGAGAGAAACAATGACCTTGAATTTAGTGAAACGGCTCTTTATATTGCAGCTGCTCAGTCTCACATTAATTAAGCACAGGCACCCCCGCATCATATTTCTTGTTTCTTGGTTGGTCTCATTTCATTTTCACATGAGATGAGACCAATGCAACATTTTAATGCAGGTTTGGGAACGGATTTGTATTTTTCATTTAAAAAAAAAAAAAAAAAAAGAAGAAGAAAAAAACCCATACATCAGTCATCGACTACACTTAAATTATAGTAATTTAAAACGGATACCAAACAAGATGGGTCTTATACAAGGCCAAAAATAAAATGGTTAAATAGGTGACAAATGTTCCCAAACCAGCATTACAGACAAAAATTACACGCAGCTCATAAATAACATTCTGAAACATTACACAGATACCATGACCATCGTCTGCAAAGCGAGGTGAAAAGACGTACTATTTTGTGGAGTCAGAGAGCTGGTATTCTCTGCGACGGTCGTAGGCCTCCTGGATTCCTGGATCAGCCCACAGGGTTTTAATAGCTGTGATGTATGGTTGCTCAAAACTATTGATCTTCTCAATGTCCACCTCCTTCACAAGCATAGCATTAGCCTGGGAAAACAAAAGGTGAAGTAAGTAACAAAAGATCTGACATACATGGCCACAACACAGCAAACAGAAATATAGATCTATGTTTTTTAAAAACTACAAGAATTATCCAGTCATTTCAGTTTTTAGCTGTAGACTTTTGATATTTCTGCAAACAGCAGATTTTTTCCACTGTCTGTTTAGACCAAACATCCGATCCCAACCACCCACCTATTCTACTTTTTCCAAAGATAATGTTTCTGCTAGACAAACTAAATGCATCACTTCTTGCGTGCCAGAAGTTCTTTCTTGGAAAGATTTTAAAAAAGACAGTTGGTCAAACTCTGAGAAAGAAAATGGCATCTGCACTGAGGATGTCATCAAAAAAAAGAAGGGCTACACTGCTTCAGTTTCACTTTTGACGAACTAATAAGTTTCATTCCTGACCCGTCCCTATAAAAGAAAGCAATATAAATAAATCTGCACTAGTCGATTTCTTAGGGAATCTTACAAAATCTTCATTGCACAGAGGCATGAAAGCTGTTTTAAAATAATAAAACAGGAGAAAATCACAATAGCCTTTACCCGGTTGTCTTCATATTTGTAGGGGATCTTGAGGTTCTCAGTGGCGCGGATCATGGACTGCATGGAGGTGAAGATGTTTTGATAAACAAGTCGAATGAAGCCTCTTTTATCTTCATCAGAGTATCCAGCTCCATGGATGATCCTCATCTGCTTGATGAAGGTGCTCTTGCCACTTTCTCCTGTACCTGAGCACAAAGACACAGGATCATAGTTACAGTGTGGGTAACGCCTATCGTGAGGGTCCCCAATCAAAGCAAAATTGCAACAGTAAGCAGACCGAGGCTCGATCAAGACAAAGTAAAAGATGAATTGGGATTAGTTTGAACTTTAGATCATGCAAAGCTACTCTAGTATAGTCCAAAAATGGCAACACCAAACTGGTAAAGAGCACAATAAGAGAAAGTCTCACATGTGTCAAGGAAACAAAAATCTTAGCTTTCCTTTTAGTTCTCTACCTCTGACTGAACACAAATTCAATCATACCTGAACATAAGATATCCAGAACTGACAGGTCAACTATTTATTTGAAGATAACCGATGGCAGTTAAGGATAATGAGCCGATGCCAATGCTCTGCCAATAAATTTGTGCAGTGGAAGTTGATAAGTCTTCTGTGGACTTCGAGAAAACATTCAACTGTGTCCCTTAAGGTGTCCCGTGGGAGTATGGGTACTTGCTTGTTGTTACCAACCAATTCCTCCATGTTAATCTGTCCTAAGAGTCTGGTTCACATTGGTACTTCTACCGCTGACGCCATGCTTCTCAGCTGGAAAAATGGTGGACCACCCAATCTAAACTCGAGATGAATTTCTTACCCAAGTGAAAGAATTAAAGTAACTTAGGATCGTGTGTAAGAGTGAGGACTGTGCAGCAGGACACTAACTGATGTATTGCTATAGTATCAGCAATGATATCCAAGTGGTGCAGATCTACTGTGGTGAAGAAAGAGCTGAGCATGGACATGAAGTTGCCAATTTACAGATCAACCTATGTTCCCACCCTCACCAATTACTATCAGCTTGCAGATACGAGTGGCAGAAATCAGCTTCCTCCAAAGAGTATCTCTGCTCTCCCTTTGAGACATGTTGAGGAGGTTGATTGTTCGGGAGGAGCTGAGATTACAGCTGCTAATCCTCCACATTGACATGAGCCGGGTAAGGGGATGCCTGATGTGCACTTCCTTAGGAGAGGTAAGGTCCTATCAGGAAATGGCCCGGGGATAGATCCAGGACACATTAGAGCTCGCTGCTGGGTACGAGAGCTTATAAATTACTCATCACATTATACACTACTACTTAGTCTACATTCATATAAATGTGGCAGACAAGAAATGAGAAATAACAAGGCTCCACAAAAACCAAATCCACAAGACAAGATGTTATGGTTCCCTCTTCATGTGTCACCGCCACAGCAATGAGCTACCAGTGTGTTACACACAGAAAGCTGCAAAGATTTTAATAGTAAAAAACAACAAGAAGAGGAAATATATTGTGAATAAAATTGCATCTGTTGTCACTGAGGTGTTAATCTATATCACTACCCAGTCCTATTCGATGCCACTGAACTGTCCCATTTTCATATTGAAAAATCAGACCCTCATTTCTGCCAAGACCCAGAGCCGAACCTGTAACATGAACTCAGACATGCTGCAGTCCGTTTTTCTGTTTAGTTACTTGACATTTGAGGTAATTAAGGATAGACAATGTTTTTCTCAAAATTATATTAATACGGGATGCTCATACGAGTGAGTCCTTAGACAACTTGTTATAAAATCCCTTGACTGACATTCCAAACTGATTAACTAAACTCATTAGGGGTGCACATATGTCAAAGCTTCTTTGTCTAGTGTCAGGAAGTTGCTCCACAGTTTGCCAAGTAAACAATTCAAAAAATATTTCTAGGGAGAAAAAAAAGAAAAAAAAAGGGGAGGGATGAGTGAAGGAAATATGAGCTAATTTAATGAAGACTATTAAGACAGCTTGCCCTACTATATCCAGCATCTAACAGTGAACTGCCTCTGACAACGACCCCTGCTGTCATCTTTTGGCAAAGGGCGAAACTCACTCAGTGATTCTTTCCTGCCCTCCTGATTCCATATTTGGAAGCAAAACTATTACAATATTTCAAACATCATAACAGCCAAGATAAAATGTATCTTTTGATACCAAAACATCCCTGATTTCACAGTCAGAGTTGCATACTCTTCCTTCAGTTAAAGACAACAAAAACACTTTAAGCCTTTCTATATCCCGAAAAAAATTAAATTAAATTAAAAAAAAACCCTACTCGATTGGTGGTCTGTTAGGCCTAACCTACATTTCACAATAGCCCTCTAAGGTCTGCATACTGCCTAAAAACCTTACCCTCAGGCCATGAAAATAAATAAATATTAAAAACAAACAGGCTGATGGCATTTGAGTTCTCAGTGATATCAAACAGGATCCAGCACATCAATGATATCTGCAGAACTGAGAGGGAAAGACGAAAGACGTGGGGAAAAAAAAAAAAAAAAAAAAAAAGAAGAAGAAAAAAAATACACACATAGGCTACACTCATCTCACCACCACCTACATTCAAGGTTTTTGAAGAGCAGCCATATTTCCGTTACCATAGCAACCCCTCCTCTGTCTCCCTCTTTTTTCGTTCCTGTGTTTTTTTTTTCCTCTTCTTCTTTTTTAAACCCCTCCCATCCGCCCCTTCTCTCTCCTCTCTTTCGTAGCAGACAGTAAATATAACTGTGAGCCCCTCAGGCTCGCTCTGTGCTCTTCATATTTTGGTTCACCGCAGAGAAGAAGGGCCTCGGTTAAGCAGAACATTTGGGATGGGCGGGAGAGGGGGTATGGTCTGAGGTCAGGGGGTTCTGACACCTTAGGACAGTGAAAGGAATGGGAGAGATAATCACTTTCCTGTCAATGGAGAAGAAACAGCTTAATCTCAAAAATATATTTCTTATATCTAAAGTCTTTATCCATAAGGGGAAAATGGCTCTCCTTCATCCAACAAAATGCCCAATTTAGGATAACAGACTAGACAGGATTTATAGCTCTGTGTTTTGTTTTTTTTAAAAAGCAAAAAAAGCACCATCTTCATTTCTCCTGGATGAATCAATGCACTGCAGTGAAGGCTGCACGCTGGTCGGCCTAACAAAAGAAGTCAAACACAGAGAGCGTATTCTTTGCAACAGGGCTGCAGTGGCAATGACTGCAGACCGGCTCACCGAGGGAGCAAGAAGATCACTCTCCAGCCTAATGTCTGATTTATTTCTCGTGACCCCATCACAAGATCTCCCTCCGCTGTGTTCCCTTAACTATCATGTCCCTCTTTTCCCCAGACAACACACTACAAGCCTCTGTCCTCGCTTTTTCCTCCCCAAAAATTGTACTAGTGCCAGCCACAGCCATTTCCATGCCCTCACCAACTCTTCCCCACTAACACGCCCCCACCCCTCGCTCCCCTCATAACCTCCCTGAGGCAAGAAATATGCCTCGCCATTCTCATCCCTCTCTGTCAAGAATTTTGGATATTCATAACTAGAATCCATCCATTCTTTTTTGGTAATGACCTAGAAAAAGGAGGTCACCTTTTAATAGCTCACGCGCGCGCACACACACACTGAGTTCTCTTCTAGGTACTGTGAGAGAGAGCGAAAAAGAAAGAGTGGAGATTGTGTCCCAGCGCAACAGTGCAAGGTACACTACACAGCCCACACACACACCAACACTACTCTCTTCGCAGAACCGATGAGCTTTGTTCCAAAAAACCAAAGTCTCACTCGAGGGTAACCCGATGACAATAAGCACACAACAAAAACTTGCTCTCAACACCCAAATTACAAAGAGGCGCTGAAATGATAACAGTACGCAAGCAGTACAGCTCCCCATCAACTAAAAAGGCAGCAAGCACTACACCTGTATATTCCATTGCCAGGATAGCTTTCATAAGCCTTTACATAACGCAACTGATGTCAGCTTGTGACACAACCCCTGATAGACTTGACACACTGCTGTCTTGGTGCAGCAGTTTTGGTTGAGCCCCAGCGTGTGCGCGCACACCTACACGAAGGCATTGCTTTGTTTACACAGGCTGCTCATCTTATAAATCTCCCATCCTGCTTCAAACGCAGCCGCCACAGGGCCTTGTTCACAAGCGTGCCCATTTCTGCTAAACCTGACCTCCCCATGCAAAACGAGTCGCTGCTTTCGATGAACAGGAAGTCATCAGCGTTGCTGTAAATTTGCATGCAAAAAACACACACGCGCCGAAATATAACTGTCCACTGCTATGAACAGCACTGGTTTATGAACGGTCCTTTCAGTCAGCACGTGGCAATCAAATCTCAGCACGGAGAAACCGTCTGCATAAACACAGCCAAGGTTAAGATACTGACAAAACTGGCATCGTGTAGGCATTATACGTTTTTGTCAGCACCTGGGAAAACTTTTAAAAAATGAGAAGGCTAAGCAAAAATGTAGCGAGGGTCTTAAGCTTTCACATATTCATCTTGGAAATTGGCCTCTTTCAGGCGTACAAAGGAAAGGGACTGAGCCAAGGCAGCCTGCAGCTATGCAACACACACACCACCTGCCTAACCAACTGTGGACACACACACACACACACACACACACACACACACACACACACACACACACACTCACTGTGGTCAACCTCAAGGCATGGATGTTACCTCCACTGTGATGTCCC